CCTGGGCCCCGCCTGCTCTGAGCCCCCATCTCCCGTCTGGGCCCCCGTCTCCTGCTCTGGGCCCCCGTCTCCCGCCTGGGCCCCGCCCGCCCCACCGGGTCTCCTCCTTCTTGTGCTCCAGCTCCGCTTCCAGCTGCTGCTTCCGCAGCTGCGTCTCCTTTTCCCTCCTCAACCGTTTCTCCAGCAAAGCTGCCCGCTTCATCGCCATATCATTTTCTGCTTTTTGATCATCCTAAGAACGAATTTCATGAGAAAGATGAGATGTTTTAGGTGCCAATATTCTCATTTTCAACGGCTGTAGTCACGTTTGGTAGTTACTCTTCTAACTGAAAATCTGAGTATGTTCACTCCAACCTCACCACAGAAGGACACGACCCAGAAATTACAAAGGAAAAAAGAATTCTAACGGTGACACGTTTACCAAACTTACTCAGTTACATGTTTTTAAAACCCAGGAAATTAGCAAAGAGCAACATAAAAAAGGAAAGAAAAAGAACAAAGGTTTTTGGACCTTAATAAATAACTTGGAGTGGGGAGTTTCCTCAGTTTTAAAACCTGCATTTAAGTTGTATTTTAAATACATGCTCAATACAGAAAACGCAAGTAAAAGCACCAGAAAAGTCAGCTGCCCAGACTCGTGTCACATGAAGCGAAACGAATCGCACTGAAGGTCTCTCCTTCAGACAGAAGGCGGGCGTGTGACACCTCGCACCCACCCAGAGCCAGCCCACGGTCCGCAGCCCTCCCGGGCCTGCCCCAGCTTCCACCCGGCCCTCGAGGACAGGGTTCTCAGACGGCTTTCCTACTCCCGCAGTCAGGAAAGTGACAAGCTGGAGAAGAGGCTCACTGCCGTAGCGACTCCTTGTTTCACAGCACAGCGTCAGGCGCTCCAGGGAGCTCCGCAGGGCAGCTTAGCGGGAGGGGAAGGGGACCAAACAAGGTGCTTTGCACAGAAACCCCGAGAGAGATGCGCTCTGGATGGAGAAGGTCAGAGGAGAGCAGTCAGTCCAAACACACACACATCTGTATCTTTGCAGTCTTCCAGGCCTTTGCTCTGGGGCTAAAAAGACGCAGCACCGCTAGCAGCTCACAGGCTAAGAGGCACCTAACGTAAGCAGCTCACAGGCAGCCGAGAGCCCCGGGTCACCAGCACCGCCTGAGTACGTTCCGGACACAAAAGCAGCGTTCTATGAAAAACAGCAGTCCTGCCTAGTTGAGAGACAACACACGACTCACATTCAAACGCCTCAACGTTCAGAAGGGCCTAAGGAGCCATCTCTCTGAGTCACGACCCAAAGGGAAACCAGCAACCGTGATCACTGCAGCATCTTGGTTCTGACTACAGTGGGGCTGCGTCCGCTGCATTTAAAGTCTGGGATGCTGGGTTCTGTGCCGTCGAATGCTGTCCTTTCTACCTGATTCCAACCTGTGGAGCTGCTCAGGGTCACAAATGATCTACTCCAGCCCCTTAATTTACAAAAGCAACATGAGCAGCACACACACACGCTTCTGATTATTAAAAACCATCTTCTACCCTACAGGTAATTTGGAAGACACTGAAAAATATGAAGATGAAAAAATGGGTGATAATTAGGAGAAAAGTTTTTAAACTTTATCGGGCTTTCCTTATTCTAGCATCTAAGATAAATTTCAGGACTTACGACCGAGAGGGGACACTGCCCAGCACCTGTGTCAGGTGGCTGCGGCACTGTTTAAACACGTGCCCTGCCCAGCCAAGGCTGAGACGGGGGTCACGCACTGCACCCCAGGGCTGTTGAGGGGCCAGCTCCATGACAACCGCAAAACTATGTATTTTACAATGTTTCGCCTTGCCAGCTTCACCTGGTCAATTTTTAAAAGACTTCAAACAAAACATAAGAGGGAGGATGGCCAAGACTAAGAAAACAAACTCAGACAGACTTACACGCAGTGCCAAGTTAGGAGCTTTTTGCAAACTGGCAACAACTTTTTGAAGACATCTGGATCACTTAGTTTTTAAAAGACTTTTGTGAAAGTGTGTGAGAGAGAGAGAGAGAGAGAGAGAGAGGAAGGGGAGGAGGGCGGTGGAGGCCAGACACGCACCTGACGTG